GTATTTCTGAGGTCATATCCTTGTCATTTTGACGCAAAAAAGCTACTTAAAGGAGGGCACGTAAACTATAAAAGACATCATAAAAATATAGGTAAATTTCATCCAAAATACTTGAGAGTTGGTGAGTTAACATAACTTTGGATGATCTTTCCAATGGTATATCACACTAGGTACTGTCTGTTAAGGCTTTAGCTGTAGCAGGGGGGACGGGACTTATTTGACACCCTGTATTACCCAAATTCAAGTTGCAAGAAGTTAAAATCTGACCTTTGATTTCAGACTTGAAGTTCTGTTGACCTTCAAAAGGTCAAGATCTTCTTCTGGGTAAGATTGCTTGGCATTGTAAATGTCAAGTTGATATTGTAATATATATTTGACCCCCCCCCCCCCCATTTAGCCACTGGACTTACATTATCCATTCTTTGTTTCAGATGGACTGTTGGTTGAATGGGGAGATTGGTTCGTCTTAAAATGTCCAGAATGCCAACAACATTTTCCCGCCTACTACAGTACATGTTATCCAAACGTTCTTATTAGTCATATAAAAAAGCGTCACCATAGGGGTTATTTTGTCAGTTGTATGGACTGCGGCATACGTCTGAAGTATCTCAAATACAAAAAGCATCGCTTGGCTTGTATGAATATCAAGCCATATAAATGTTCGCACTGTGCTGAATCTTATACCAATGTGAAGGCTTTGAAAATGCATTGCTATAAAAAGCATAGTGTGAATACAACTTATGACAGATCTGGAGAAGTTTGGAAGCCAAAAGTGTGGATTTGTAAAGTGTGTGATTGCACATTTCATCACCAACCAAGCTTGGAAAATCACATGCTGAGTGAACATAACAGAGCTAAAAAGAAATTTAATTGTAACGAATGCACACTGTCCTATTTTACAAAGGCAAGATTGAGGCTTCACATTAGCCAAAGTCATTGCCGAGATAACATTGTGTGTGACTTATGTGGCATGGAAATGATCTCAACCAAGTTGAGGGACCACATGAAGACGGCGCATAAACCTAAAAGCAAATGTTTACATTGCTCGGAGACATTTCAAACTAGATATCAACTTAAATTGCATGTTATGAAACACAAAGACTGTTTTGAGTCCATGAAAGAAGTTTTTCCACAATGTACATTATGTTTGAAAGTATTTTCGTCAAAATATAATTTTGACCTACACATGCTCGATACACATAACCCAGAGAAGAAATACAAGTGCAGACAATGTGACAAAGCTTATTCTACAAAATACAGATTACACGATCATGAGCAAAGTCACATTAAGAATTTAGCGTGTACATATTGTGGAAAAACTTTTGGTCGTCGAGGACATCTGAATGCTCATATGGAGATTCATTTAGGCTTCACGCACAAATGTGAAGTATGTGGTAAATGTTTTATACACAAGAGTCATCTTAATTCGCATAAACAAAAAGGGATTAAATGTACTAGTAATCCTAAAAAATCAAATGATAAAGTCCAAAACTGAAAACGTCCATCTTTGTACCAACTTTTTTTGTTTTCTTGATTTTATTCAGTAATGTTTTTCAAAAGGTCTGCTGGTTTTGACGAGGCCAAGTAGGCCAAAGTTTATCAATTGTACTGTAGGTTGACTAAGAAGGCAAAACCTCAAATCATGCTGGTTGGTTTGTTGAGGGCAAGCTGGCCAAAGGAACACATACGTTATCGCAAACAATTTCAGATGATTCTAATTCTTCTTATAAATATTTTCTGATTGTGAAAATGGGTGTATATTTTAGACCCATTCATTATCTCCAAGAAAAGTACATATAACGATATTTAAGTTAATCCGACTAAGTGATATTAAAGGAGTAATAAACCAATCAACGTACTTTTTCAAAAAAGTAACCTAATTTTCACCTAAAGTGCAACCTTTTATTACATTGTTGAATGCATGATTAGAATGTGCTTTGAGTCTGAGATATGTTCTTTTTCCTAAAAGGAAAAATGGATTCCCCATGGACTTTAAAGATACTGAATTTGGATGTCCAAAATGAGCTATAACTAATGGATAGCATGCGTTTTTTCAATGTGGAAATAAGATGGGAGCATTTATCTTAGGAGAATTCAGTTTTACTTTCAAGAACTAATTGGTACATGAAAATAAAGAATATTAACGCATTAAACATTGTCAAAATGATTGCATTTTTGGTGAAATTGAAAGCTACATCTTTGACAAAGTATGTTGTTGGGTCGATTGCAAGCTAAAATATCTCCGATTTCGATTGGCTTTATTATTATTGCACGTATACACTTTTCTTTGAGATAATGAATGGATCTAAAAGATCTAAATATCTTCACTGTCGGAAAAAGTCATAATCCGAGATAGGACCGTCTGAAATTGTTTGCAATAACGTACGTGCTCCTTTTATCAAATATACCGTAGGTTTGTTTTGCTGAAGCCAAGTAGGCCAAAAGTTTGTTCTTTAACAATTTATTAATCACAAACAATTATATACATATTTACAAAACAAAATAAGCCTCTTTCTCTAAATCAAAAACTGCTTTTAAACTCAATACATTCAAATTTTCATAACATTTATATCTGTGAATGGTTTTTACTGTAAGGTTCGTTTTCTTGAGGCCAGGTTGGCTAAACTTTATCAATTAAACTTTAGACTGGTTTTCTTTAGACCAAGTATGCCGAACTTGTTTTTATGTATTGTGTAAGCTAACTCATTTTCTCCCAAGGAGAAGCATAGTGTTATTTTTGTTCTGATTATTGTAATAATCAACAAAATAAAAAACATGTTCACGAAAAAATGTTCGTATAAAATAAATGTTAATCATGTTTAGTGTTTGACGGTTAATAGAATGAATAAATTAAAATGCAATAAATGTTTTCCAATTAATTCAAGCACCGAGAATTCTTTGTTCAATTGTTTGCAGTAGTGACATAACTCTTTATCCGTGTAAAATAATCTGGAGCTGTTTTCACATCGTCCGTTATTCCTAGTGTACATTGACATAAAAGCAAATTCAATAACCTGTTTTGAGCTCCACTCAACCTGTCAACACGTTTAGCAAAATATAAGCTTGATGTAAGCATAAGATAATAGGCGATAGATATACTTTTTAAATAAAGAGAGCAGATAAATCGCAAATCAATCTGTGATATACTTTTCTGAGATTGAGATTGATATAAACCTATGCCATCTTTAAATCAGCCCAAAACATATGGAATAAGTAACTCGTACGTTCACACCGCCCCACCCCCTCTAGGAAGGGGCCCTAAAAATTAAGGGCCTCAATGAAATTCACTTATTGGCACTACTGGGCCTTGTTTTTTCATTCTTGGCCAAATTTATCAAAATGTTCAAAATTTGGGGCAAATTTTTGGTTAAGAGGGCCCAACGATTTTTTACAGACTTGACCCCCCCCCCCCCCCTGTTACCTTGCAGATCCGCCCCTCCATAACTTGATGATTCGAGAGGAGACTTACGATTGCCAATCTTATTAAGTGGGTTGTATAAATGCCATTATGGTACAGTGTATAATCCACAATGACATACACTTATAATTATGTCGTCCCTTGAGACCAACCTCTACATACTCAACTATAAAAATGACCTGCCATTTTAGATAGTCAAATAATTAAATAAACCCTTTGTTTCACAATGTAATTATAGTAACTTAGTATAATATGGTACCTTTATTTCATTGAGGTGAGGGAATTTATTAACGTAATTACTATTCTTCAACATATATGGTAATGGCTTCTGTATGAATGAAATGTCCCTTGGTGTTTTGGTCCTGGATAGTGATAATAGAATTTGAATGCCCCCCCCCCACTATTGTCACGTTATGCAATGAGTGATAAAGCTGCAGAGATATTATGCATACTATCCTTTTAAAAGTCTGCAATAATGATGCCCTTTTAAAACGCAAAAATACAGAAAAACGTAATAAATCACAACAATGATGGAAATAATGAAGAAAACGCTCGTTTTAAAGGTTGAGGCGAGCGTTCCTTTCATATTTACTGTCGGTAGACGTAAATAATCTTCGAAATATCACCCCTCTACTCCATCAGCGTCATGCCAAAACAACGTAATACAATTTGAAATGTAAATATTTATTGACAATACTTTAATAATAGTATTTTACTTAAGATAAAAATAATTATTAATAATTGTAGTATTTTTTACATAAAATATCAAAATTACCTCAACGAGGATTTGCTTGAATAATTTTGATCTGAACTGAATTCTCAATATGCATATAAAACGGGTTTTGAACTAGAACACGTGTCTTCTGATTTCACGCCCGGTGATCGTGAAAATGGGACGGAGGGGGGGGGGGGCAGGCAATTTCCGCTAGAAAAGTCAACAAATCTGGTAAAATTATTTTTTAGACAGAGTTAACGATTGAATTGCAAATTGAATAAGCGCACGGTATGATAAAATATGTTAGGTATTCTAGGATTATTTTTCAACCGATACTCTTTTAAGATATAAGATCTATTAAAAAAGGCGCAACGCAACCAACGTGCAAAAGTCAAAGTCTTTGCTATAAATCAAGCAACAATGGACTACACGACCGGTAATAAATACTTGTAAGTGATGTTATCATAACTAAATTAATGTCATTGCTGAATTTATAAAATAAGTTTCCATACGTAAAATAAAAAATAATCGAAAATAATTAAAATGGGACGGAGGGGGGGAGTAATAATTCTATAAAGTGAAACAACTTCACACGAATTCTTGTATTTGAAAAATGAACTCATTAACTTAGTAAGAAACTGGATGATATACCCCTGGAGACTGAAAAATGGGGACATTTGGAGTAAAAGGACTTAAAGTCGCGAAACATCTCTAATCATGTCTTATATACATATTGCTCCCCCTCCGCCCCCCCCCCCCCCTCCGTCCCAAATTCATTATTTTCGATTATTTTTTATTTCACATATGGAAACTTATTTTATAAATTCAGCAATGACATTAATTTAGTCATGATAACATCACTTACAAGTATTTATTACAGGTCGTCCAGACCATTGTTGCTTGAATTATAGCAAAAACGTTGATTTGTGCCTGTTGATGGCCTTGCGCCTTTTTTAATAGATCTCATACCTTAGATGCGTATCGTTTCAGAAAAAATCCCAGAAAACCTAACATATTCTACCATACCGTGCGCCTATCCATTTAGCAATTCAATAGTAAACTTTTTCTTGAAAAAATAAATCTTCCAGATTTGTTGAATTTCCTAGCAGAAATTGCCTGCTCCCCCCCTCCGTCCCATATTCACGATCACCGGGCGTGGATTTGCGTGACCTATAATGAGTTGCCGTCTAGGTTGTGTATAGCATTTCGTTCAGAGCAATCGTGCCTCATTCCTCCGTAAGTGTACGCAACGAACGAAACTGCTTTTGGAGATATGGGAGAGGGTATGAGCAAGTGTACAGTGTGAAGGAACTCACAGTATTATATTTTCATTTGATCCTGTGGATATTGTACTTCAGAAAGGGGCGATTTTAGACCGATATACGGATGGTATCTAAGTCCAACACGATTCATAGCTCTTGGGACAGGCCTCCATATATGTTGCCTACCAACTGTCCCTCTTAGCAACGGATCCCATGGCAACATATTGTTCGTGTCACGATTATTTATCATGGATTCTTTTGGGTTAATGTTCAAAGAATGCGGTAATTCAATATATCCAGAGTCAACGAACCTAGGTGTCCTGGTGTCAGTGTGTCCAGGCAGTAGTCTATTGGCAGTGTGTCTTGATGCATCGATGTGTCTAAAAGTCCCATGATTTGGCGTGGATTCCGTATGATTCAGACTGCTTGTCTCCAAAGGGGGAAACTTTCTGCCGAGCTGGTGGAGAATATAGTCTGCATTGCTTCTTATCATATTTTCTACGGTTATGTCAGGGTTGTGCACATTATCACACGTTGGGAAGAATGGCTGTTCGTAACTCCGCAACCCGAGCTGGCCATTGACACTGTTTTTATACCCCAATGCTGCAAGTGTCGCTCCGTAACTGAACTCCATCGGGGGCAGGGGCAACTTTTGTTGGGGTTTACTCGGTTCTTTCCAAAACGAAGCAGGGAGGTGGCGCCGTCGCAGAGGTATCGCATTTGAGTTAGTTGATTGGGTAGTTATGTCACAATGCGAATCACGAATGCATTCTTTTTTATGACTGGACCTATTGTGAACTTTGAGAAAATGTTCGATATTAAATTTTTCGGTGTCATCTGGTATGTGTTCATCATCTTTCAGCGGCCTGTTAAATGGTGTACCATTATCACCAAAAGACTCGCCTTTATCATGCTCATTTTGATCGCAATGTCCTATGATGTCGCATGTTGCGCACGCTCCTTCTATATCTGTATGCGGGTTTAGACTACTGTGCTTGATCTTACATTGGCCGGGGGACGTTTTAGTTATAGGCAAACACATATCATTCGCTTCCATTGCATTGATGTTTCAATATGGGAAAAGTATACGTTAAGCTACGATATCCTCATGTAATAATGTAATACCACTTGATCAATTTCAAGATACGCGTTGAAGAGCCTTGCGTTTTGTGTAAATCACTTCGTATCATCTGCTGAGATTCCTTATTTGTAATAACTATGAGTAAAACCCGAGGCATAAATTTTACGTCTCTCGTAAAACACGTGTGTTCTCTTTTTCTTGCTGCTAATGTATGTAATATGTATGTATCTTCTGCAAGTTACATTATAAATGCTTTCTTTATGAAGTTCTCGATACCTGTAGCATATAGCACATGGCGTAAAGCAACTCTTAATCAATCATGCAAACTAGTCCTACTCATAAACGCGATTCCCAAGGTGCGTTCCGACATTCTCAAATCATCCACCCGTTCATTTGTCAGCAGATTAGTCAAAAACTCACAAATTGAATCATGGGTAATTACTTGCTCTGAGTTATGGCACAGGTGATTTGCTTGGAAGATGCTATCTAGGCAGGGATATTAACATGTTTGTTGACTGAGTCTGGAATCCTCTGGTATTCAATCCAGTCAAACACGATCAAAAATCCAGCTGTTGGAACGCATTCAACATACCGTCCGTAACTCAATCAACAGCCCAGTCAACATCAACAACATGCTTTAAAACGAAAAACATACAACGAACAATTTGTACACCAAACCCTACGAAAGTCAACCTGCTAAGATACTCAGAAATCTAGAAATTCAGAAATTTCATTTTAAAATTACAGAGAAAATATAGAAGAAGGAATGACGATTGGTGATTTTAAGCTAGAGAGTTTTGCATTCCTGAAGCAGTGGAGTAAATGTGAGGCACGCGTATTGCTCATCGTGTTGCGATCTTATGACATATCATCACGTCTGGTAGTTCCCTTACTTTCATCATAAACAAATCACTTATGGCATATACATTTTGATGGTGCAGCTTATAACGCGTTTTATTTGACTTAACATACATAAGATGAAAATAGGTCATACCTTGATCATGACGCAAATTTAAAGGTGTCACTACATTTTAATTTTCGTCCTATATTTCTCCAAGATTAAATATCAGAACATCTTTCTTCCCTCTTTGAACGTGGAGGTACAATGTACATAGAGCAAATTTGTAAAACGCTTTGTTTTCAAAGGCGAGCAGAATATATTCTGTAATGGCAGGGAGGACAGATATAATAAATATGCCCGTCATTGGAAAATGAAAAAAAATTGGAGAGAAATATCTTTTCGATGTTAATAAAGATCCCCGAGAATTTTCAGATTCATCTATTATATTTGGATTAACCTGTAGCAAATACGATACAACTTGGAATTATAAAGCCATTTCATCAGATATTATAACACCATGGAGCCTATTCATAACCAAAGCAATGAAATGTCCAGATTGCCTCGATATATTTTAATTGTTTTGAAAAGCCAAAAACGGAACTTCGATCGAGAAAAACAGTATTTCCAAAAAAATGAAGCAATCGAAAAACACATTGAAGTGATGACATTCGATGGCTAAATCGCACATGCGTTGGAAAGCATTTGTAAAAGTGATAATTTGATGGTTTTGATATCATTAAAGCTCGTATATATTGACCCGCATATCAAACAATTGATTTTTTCTCGTGTTATTCGATCTATATCTTTACTGCAATTGCTATGGTATGTTGTTCACTGGAAGCAGGTGGGATAGAGGAACGCACAAGTTTTAATTACCTGGATAGTTAAGCTTGCATGTGTTCTAGCTTCTATGTGTTATCCGCATGCCTATCATACTTGCTAGACTTCTAACAACTGCAAGAGCCAACCAATTAGAAAACAGTCATTATGGCAATGTTTCTCCCACTCTTTTCTCTCCAAAATTTGAAGAACATCATAATTCGCTTGCATTTCTATATATTATTTAGAGTTAGCACTTATTCCTTATTGGGCAAATTTTCCACTTTGTCAAATTTTGCGTTGCAAAAATGGTCTTCGAGACATTTTTTGGATGGGAAAATACCAGATTTTAACTCCGGCATCTCGCCAGTCTTGGCATAACAAGCATTCTTCATCAGAAACAAAAATTGCTCAAGAATTCTTAACATCTCTTCAGAGATAGATATTGATATTTAGAAAAACCGTGTGTTGTTTTTATTATCCATTGACCCTTATGTATACAACCTTTTTATAAGTATAAGGAGGAAGTCATTTGGGACTCACGCATGCGAGTGTTTCTTACTCCTGTCTGATTTTATAATAATGTTGATATTATTGTAAACCTTATTTAATTACCTCTAACCTCATACAAGGATTATTTTTATAAACAAATCAAGGTCAACGTGACCTAGGGGGTGTAAATTTTGACATTTTGTGATAAATTGTCAATTTTCTGTCAAAATAAATTATTTGGTGCCACAAATGCTACATTGCCCGAAAAATAGTTTATCATCTTTCAAATGAAACAAAATCAAGGTAGTTAAGCTTTTTTATAACTGAGTTTCAAAGATACTATCAAAATCAATGTAACGCGAAATTGAATAATCAACAATGGGGTTAACTTGTTTTTGTCTTTAGACGTGTCGCAAAAAGGTGGCGCATTTGTTTTTTAAGGGTATCGCGTGAATGTAACTTTGATTCCCCGGAATATAAGATAATATTCTAATTAAAGTTATATATCATTTTAAAGCTGTTTCGATGAAGATTTTAGATCAACTACACTCCGTTCACATTTTTTGCGCGTTCGTTTTTAAAAAAGAATTTTTTACCAAAACATCTGGCAAATATCCCTGGCCATGTTGACACGTTACGTTTTGAATTATTTTTCGTCTTTAAACGCTCATAACTCAAACAATATATGACTATTATACTTATTTTTCGTCTTGATAAAGGTAGATGGAAGTTTTATTTCAAAGGATGAAATTTAGTAAGCGTCCCGTATTGTGACGTCATAGAGTCTGAAAAATAGAATATGTTGACAGCGACCTTTTTTGCTCATTTTTTGGTACCTTCAACTTTTCAGGTGTACATTAAACAAAAAATACGAGATCAATTTTTAATAAATCATACATGATTATTTTGCTCCTAAACTCTAGTTTATTAATAAATAGTTGATTTTGTTCACAAAAGTATGTGTTTTCTGTTGTATGTGGAAAAGTGGAGGACGAAAGGTTTTAAAAATTCATTAAAATAGGGCTAATTTACGCCATTCGCCTATTTTCAAGCACAGAACACGTATATTTATTTCACCTAAAATATCAATTGATTCGTGTTTTATGATGCTCCTAGCCCATTAACAATATATATATGATATCAGAGTTATTCGTCTAAAATGTTTTGAGATATAGAGGTAAATGTGGAGGACGAAAGGATTTTCATGTGTGTACATTTTTCTCAAAAACGTCACATTCTATCATGTTAAAAGCGAGGATCCTCTGGATTACGCCACAAAATGTGTAACAATGCGTGCGCGAGCTTTTTGCGACACGTCTTAGCATTCATATTCCAAGATGTGCAAGAAATACCAAATCAGCGATTTTTTAAGAAAATAGATAAATGCTTAACTTGGTATTCCAATATAATTTCGGTTCGTGATTTTGCCTAGAAACAACTTGGCAACTGCATAAAAAGTGAAAAATGGGGATAGAGGAGAATAAACAAATTATATCTAAACTTTGGAAAGAGGAATCATCATAATTCTGTTATCACAGTTGGCACAAACATTCAGAAACATGCAGAAAATTCAAAGATATTCATTAAAGTAGTTTTTGAAAGAAAAAGTTTTTTTTGTCAAAATCATTTAGGGAACGCTATTCACGAATACTTACATGTAGCGATTAACTCTTTTTCACCTTAGAAATTCATAAGATCGATTTTCATGAAATAAAGCAAATTGGAGAGAGAATTCAATATTCGAAATCATTATTTATCAAAAGGAGCAATCGTGATTACTTTGCATTTTCTACAATATTAGAAACAAGGTAAATATCAATACTTTATAAATTTTATTTTTATTGGCACATACTTCCGACTACAACTATCTACCCCGAATAACCTTGATTTATACTTTTTGCAAAAATGGCAAAAATGTTTCCATCACTTTGATGGTTTCTTCAAAGTCATCAGTGATTCCTATGATATTATATTTTTCAATGTTGGTTTTAGCTCTTTCCACGGAGACCAACGAAGAATTGATTTTCAGATATGGGTGCTTTGGCGATTGTCCAGAGAAGACCATTTCGTGAACATCGATCGTGCCCCCTCCCACTTTGAATGACTTTTTTCATACTCCAGTTTCTTAACACTTCTACCCGTGCAACCCGTCTGATATTTGCATTAACAATGTCTCAATTTCTAAATTTATTTTTCATACATTAAAATCATTCTTCACACTATTGCAAATTTCAGGCAGTTCTGATATAGTTTCGTTTGTCTTCTTCATATCAGCGTCTTTAGATATATAATCCTTAGAGCAGCTTTGACAAATAATGGAGGTGCTGAGATCGGTGGGTAAGCTGATTCTGATAAAAATGTAGTGTTCTTTGTATTGTGTTGTTGACACAGTATAGTCCACTGAATTAAGTCCATCACAAAGGTATCTGTCATATCCCTTATACAGCATACTAAACCTAATTGTAGAATAAAAGTTAAATTGTACGTAATCATGTGTAATGTGTAATAGAGCTAACTGAAATTTTCAGAAATGGCTAGTAAGTAAGCTTTAATGTCTTGTTCGAGAGCGCCTATTTTTACTTTTGAATATGTATTTTACCAATACTCTCGACATGAATCTTCTCGATGAGACTATCAACTTGAGTTACTTTGCGTGATCATATGCAGGTTTAAACTCAAGTGTTTTCCCATGTAGTCTATACACCCTTACTGAAATCCTTATTTGCTCAGAAAAACTCAATGTGAACGAGTCTGATCAAGTATATGTGATATTATTGCTAGAATCCATTTTCAATAGTAAGAATAGGGATCCTTAAACAGGACATTAGGCTTGCTTTTTTTGCTGTTGGCTCTATAATTGTAAGCCATTGGCATACACTTTTTTTTATTCAGATTCAAAATCGTAAACAAATTGTTTCTTATGACAGTGCCCTGTCTGACACCCAAACTGTTTCCCAGGGTGTCCCTCAGGGATCAACATGGAACACCTTTGCATTTTTCACAAGTAGAAATACTCATGGTATATCATAATAGTAACCTAAAATAAATCCAAAATCCAAAACTATTGGACCAGAAACTAGGCATGATGTCAGCAGTCGGAATATTGTCACAGTAATCTTTGGAGACTTGCCGCTTACTCGTCATAATCTACTCTAGTCTATTTTTTAAAATTCAATTACATACAAACCTATCCTCATTTAAATCCGTATTGCCGTTGTGCCCGAGCATAGCATAACGAGCAATAGAATGTTCTTTATAATGCACGGGGGAAAATCCAGCCTCAAATAATCTGCAAAACGTTAAAATACTGGCGTATATTAAGGCACACTAAAATTGAACGAATAGAGACTAGCAAAAATGCAAGAAATGGATTTTCCAAAGATGTATGCTTTACCATTCACAATATCACAAAAAGATGCATGCCTTTGGGAACATTTCTTTAAATGATTTCATTAAACATGCTATTGTATGTAAATTGAACAATCAATTACTGTTGATATACTGTATTGGTTATCCCATCTACAAACAAATAATTGTATGACAGTAAAGGGGTTTTAGTTATCATTAAGTTTCGAAATTCTCCAAAATCAAGATGGCTGTCATAAAATAGTATGTCATGCTGCAGATGCAGCCCTGGTAATCAAAAAACTGAATTGAAAAATCAATGCTCGAAATTAAAAGAAATGTCCAGTCATGTCTATTTTTCCTGTTCTGTAGGGAGCGGTACATATTATTTTTTGGAACACTACTTATTTTGAGGAGCCCATTTGCCCCCTCCTCCCGCCCCTATGTCCACCACATAGTTTGAGCCATGTCAAACTGTCAAAGGTATTACAACTACGTTGTACTCACAAGAAATAAAAAGTCCTCCACTTATTTTGTCTTATCGTACATAGTTAGAAAGCCGGTTTCGAAGACATTCAATGACTTTTATTCTCATCCTTTTCTGCTTTACCCCGTGAGATCGGTTTTACTAATGAGCATGTACGAGTATATACCTTTGTCTAAAGTCGTCATCTTCACCACCCCATCCGAAGTAAACGTTACTGAAACCGTTTGAGTCGTTAAATTGGTCACCTAGAACAGCCGACACGCCGCCAAATATTTCTTCATAAGGTATTCTACAAAGATAAAAGTTATTTTTCCGTCGATTAACTAAAAATGCCATTTTCTATTAAGGTCAATTATTTACATTGATTTGATGAATATTCGTACCTGAACTGATGTGACTTCTTTTAAGATTAACCAACCCCTCCAAAGTGGTGCGATCCAGCTTGGATAAAAAAAATATATTAAGAAATACACCAACCTGTACTTGAACTTATCTACGGCAACAGAAAAGTGAGTTGGATTTTGCGAACACTCGTAGATCAAGCGATCGTTTTCTAAGAGTAGGTCGACGTCATGCAGTATTAAACATAGAGGAGCTTGATTCCCATCGCTTAATGAAAGAGCTTCTTTGTATCCAATATTAAATAACATTCCCCTGTTAAATGCGTGGGTATAATCCTAAAACAATGAACCCTGAGGTTTAGAATTATCCAAATGAACTACAATAGAATAGAGATTAACATATGTACTACTGGGCACTTTATATGTTCAGAAAAATACAATAAAGCTTTGTAATCTGTATCTGACCTAAATCCATATTTCTATAAAGATGTAAATATCTAAGCATAAGTGCTAAAATTGATAGGATCTGTCTATGCAGTTTAAAAAATTATTAATACAGGGTTTGTCCATTGTGTCAAGAGAGTTTGCTATGTGTCATTGTTCTAAATCGTTCTTTTATGTCAAGCTGACCTGTACAGAAATCTAACAAGATACCAAACATCAATGATTAAAAATGATACTTTATGAGTAAAAACGTACCTGCTCTACAACTATGATAGTGTAATCGAGTAGCTGTCTTTGAAGAATTTTAACATAATGTTCAATGAAATATTTTAGATGATCGTCTCGATCCCTAAATGGAATAATTATGACAGTTCTTTGTCTTGGTTGACAAACGACTGGAAACCAGCGCCCTCTCCCATCAGTTTTGTATGTCGATTGAACCTCGATAGGTGGCTCCGAATTGAAATTATTTTTAGGTGGATAGTTCTTTCGAACTCTAAGTAGACCAACTGAAAATATTCGCAAGCTTTTTTGCAAAATGAGTTATGACTAAGACTTACATCTTATATTCCTATATAATTTCTTTTGAAAGGTTTTACAAATGTATGCCTACCCAAGATCTAAAGTAAAATCTACTTCTGAATTAGTCGTGTTGTATTTTTTTATGCAATTGTGTACCTACCCAAATCTTTGTAAATGACTGAGCAATTTTGTCCTGGAATTTCCAAAGTATATTTTTTTGGTCTTACGAAACTGATATTCTGATTAACGATTCTTGGTTTTGCTTGAGATCCAGCGAAAATCATATGTAATAGTAAAACATCTGCAAATAATACAAAATATACCAACGTCCGCCATTGAACCATCCGCTTCATTCCTTTGCAAATTATTTTTTTAAACATTTTGAACATTTTTTCAACTTCTTTCACTTAATTGATATGAGTAGTATAGTATTGTCTCAACTCTTAAAGCATTATCAATTTATGTTTCATATTTGTGTTAGAATCGAAATAATTCAGCTGCTGGTCTTACTTTGTGTATTCATTCTTTATAAATAATCAAGTATATTAATTATTAGTATCCATGCTGGTACAGTGATAATAAAAATGGTGTGCATCATCTCGAATTGAACGTTTGTCTTCGTTTCAGCTTGGTCGGACTTCAAAAATCTGATGAGGAATTTTGTTTCCTTGATTTCATCAATTTTATTCTTCAAATTTCTTCTTAATACCGTGTTTGTCAAATGTGTAGGTTAAATATCTTACTAGATGGGAAGCTCAAGGCACATTTCAAAGAAATTTAAAAAAAAATCATAAAAATTATGCTTGGATTGTAGGGATTTAAGACTTTCCAACATGTTAGCTGATATATTCACAGTGCAAAAACCTGTCGTTGTACGAATTTTAGTTATCAGCGATCTTCAATTTTCATTCTGTATCATAGATTCATTTCACCTTTTATTTCCAATATCATTCTGAAATCCACCAATTTGATCGACCCCGGTACGATATAGTACCTCACCATGAATTTACTTTATTGCGAGAACAAGTCAGACGATATAAGTTTTGCTGCTATTGAATATAATATCCATTGCCCTGATGATACCTAGATAACGTTGTAATGACCCGAAAACGCCACAGGGAATGACTAACTTGCATAGTTTAACAAACCAGATATATAGAATTAAGAGTGTTCTAAATCCAATGTCTCGAGTGGGAATCGAACCTAGGACCCTTAGATCCAAAGACGAATGCTCTACCAACTCAGCTATGAAGGCTTGATCCACTATAGCTGGCCAACTTGTCTTTACAATGTCATTCATATTGTGTCCTCTTTTAATTAAGTGGCATACTTACAAGAAACTCGAGCCGCTACGTGCACGTTCTTACAGTTAAATGTCGATCAGTTTCAAAACTAAACTAATCTGTCTCAATTAATTAATTTATTTTTCATACTTCAAAATCATTTCACAATATTGCAAATTTCAGGCAGTTCTTTTATAGTTTCTTTTATCTTCTTCGTATCGAAGTCATTAAATGTATGATCATTAGAGCAGCGCTGGCAAATAATGGAGGTGCTGAGATCGGTAGGTAAGCTGATTCTGATAAGAAGATAGTGTTTTTTGTATTGTTTTCTTAACACAGTGTAGTCCATTGAATTAAGTCCATCACAATGGTATCTGTCATTTCCCGTATGCAGCAAACTAAACCTGAATGTAGAATAAAAGTTAAATTGTACGTAACCATGTGTACTGTGTGTTATTGTAAATCATCGGCGCACAAAATTCTTTATTTTATTGTGCGCAATTCTTTAATTGGCGGGAATACCTTTGCAAAATCGCAAGTTAAAAGGCTTATGGCTTATATGGCACCGCTTTTATCATCTTGAGAGAGTGTAAGTAACTTATTTTAAGATTTTCCGAGACATCTTATTGTTCATGACATCACACAAATGCAAGCTTCACAGTGATATATTAACAATATATTGACTTCGTGATGACTTAAATGTGCATTTTATACATTCAAGTTGAATTGTATTAAGGTATAGCAACATTTTTTGTATACAGGGTGGGCCATCAAATGGGACACTTTGTATCATTTTTAAAATTATTTAGGATACCACAGAATCGATAAACCATTGTACCAAAAGATGGGGAATAAAAAATGAAGAAATCTGAAAAAAGATAATTTCCAATATGCCTGCCTGTATATGTGATTAGAGCTCACAATTTCAGATGAGCAATAATTTTCAGAGACTTACTCTTGAATCGTCACAATCCCTTCTAATCTATTTTTCAAATTTTGTTTCATACAAACCTAGCTTCATTTATATCATCATTGTCGTTGTGTTTGAGCATAGTATAACGAGCAATAGAATGCTCTTTATAATGCACGGGGTAAAATCCAGCCACGATTAATCTGCAAAACGTTGAAATACTGGTATATTATATAAAGGTACACTATAGCCTACAAGTCGAAGAAGGATTGGCAAAATTGCAAGCAACAGATTTCTCACAGATGTATCCTTTTTACTATTCAAGGTATCGTAAAAAGATCCATGCATATCGTCTTTATTGATTGATATTATTGAAGATGTATCTTAAAACATTGATTTTCAAATCTACATGAAAATAATTTTATGACTAAAAAGTTTAAGGTTTTTAGTGATCATCGGAGTTTAGAAACTCTCCAAAATCAAGATATATATCAGATGCTGGCACAGTTTTGCCGGAAGTTTGCAAGAAGTAACTTTTGGCAATGCAGTATGTTAGAGTAACCTAGTAGGTGTAAGAAAATATAAGGTGATGGCCTTTAAAGTGGTAAAAACAATTTTCACGGCCGAATTGGACTTCAATTCCTGCGATTTCAGGGGGTACTATAAGATTATTTCATAACATGAAGGATATAGTTGCTATTGTTCTGCTTTCTACAGCACACATTACTAGTCCAAAGATGAATAATATCCTAAAGTTATAGGCCGATATCTGTATTAGTCTCAGAAATATTGCAATTTATAGGAAAAAAATATACAATTTTAGTCATTTTTAAGTCTCACATATCTTATATTTGTAGCTTCCAGCAAAAGATGCCAGCTTAAATAGCTCAAAATTGTTTTCTAAAAACTAATTCAAGCTTTGTTTGATATTGTAATACAATTATAATAATGATAATGTACTATTTATGATTTTTAATATGACTTTATAGTACCCTACCCCTGGAAAGTGGACGTGGTCAATGTTATCATTTTGCAGCATACAATTAAAAACTTGTATTGATAGAAAGCAAATCAATGCATTTAAAACATCTTCACTTGTTACTTGACATTGTAATTTATTTATTATTAAAATATAGGACTCTACATATTTTATATATACAATTTCAATTTTGTACAATGTATCATAATGAAATCTAATAGGCTGTTTCAATTTACCAACTTTTTCTCGGATCACCCTTACCGCAATATCTGGGAAATGAGATAGTGCCATTAAGAATATGTATGCGCAGATTCAAGATCATGGTGTAAATGCTTGCCGATCTATCGGCTTTCAAAAATGAGGAAAGCTGTCTTGAGTGCTGTTTCAACTAATTTTGAATTAAAACTGCTACTTATGAATTTTTTTCTCAACAACTGTGATTTGGTTGGAGTCCAAACACAGGATATCAAGACATAGTGCTACCAAATTCTGGTATTGAAAATTTCAGATCTCTAGATCAAGTATTCATATCTGAATGGACTCTTAAAAAGACCCAAAAGACACAAAATGCAGTCAGATGTCGCGAAAAAATGTGATAAAATGCACTATTCAGAACAATTTATCGCTTAAATTTTACTTTTATTTACCATAATTTCTGATTCTGCCTCTAGTTAGTAATACCAATAATACATATGAGTAGACTTAAGGTCATAGTAAGTGTAGTTACAAATTTATTAGCATTTAAAAATGGGAGAAGCAGTGTAGCAAGTGCAATTTTCACCTATAATTCATAATATTAAACTGCAGCTTTCAGGATTTTCTTCTCTAAAACAAGAATTCCGTGAGACCCCAAAAGACAGGATTCCATATACTAAATATATGTGAGAGTAGTTTCAGGAGGTTATATCAAATAATCATTGAACCATTGACACCTAAAAATATGCAAAATACAGTCAGAAATGGTGAAATTGTGATTGTGAAAAAATGTATGTATTCTTAACCATTTTTTAACTAAACTGTATTTTATTTAGAACTGAAGCTTGAAGTGCTTACTAGGAGTTACATCTAGTTATTATTTATAAAGTGACTTCAGCATCCGAATTGATATAATATAGGAATATCCTATGGTTTTGAAAAAATATCATTTATATCCATGAGTGGATATTGATATTTTCATGAGTGAGCGCAGCGAGTGAGTGAAGAATTTTGTATCCATGAGTGGATAAAATTGATATTTTTGAAAAAAAATTATTTATCCCATGGGAAATCATCATCAGCAAAAAAATGTGAAAAATATAATTTGAGAAAAAAATTGAAAAAAAATTGTGAAAAAATGTTGAAATTTTTTAAAAATATTTTTGAAAATAATTAAAAAAATGTAAAAAGAAATTCTTTTTTGAAAAGATTCGAAACCATCGAATATCACTTTTTAAGACGTGATATTCAATAGTTGAAAAGTGATATTCGATGGTTTGTGAATTTTTTGCTAAAATATTATAACTTGATCCACATATCAAACATATCTTCATCTGTTCATGTAATATTCGATCTATATCCTTGCAACAATGGGATAATCACTGATATGCTTAAGACCAAAAAACCTATAAAGAATGTTATTATTGAATACTGAGAATACATTGTTTTTACATTACGGAGTTTTATTTCTACCTGAAAGTATTTTGGAACATATCTCTTGCTTAAACATTTCATGCAATGTTACTTTCAAAAACTTTCTTAGAACAATTAGTCCATCCTATACTTTCACATGTTATTCTCCATTTCATTTTTAAAAATTGTGGGAGCTTTAAACTCTAGAAGAGCTTAATTACCAATTATACCATGCACCCTCTTTGCCCTCCGTCGCATTTTTCTTAGGACGGCCAGGCGTATTTCAAATTGAAGAGTAAAGTCAGTTAAAGTGATATATAGCTGTATATAACAACGTATCTTTCACTTGCTACTGTGATGTCAAGCTTAAGCATTCAAACAGTGCATTTTGTCCCAAGATACAATAAAGTACTGATTTCATTTATTTATCAATTCAGATGCCTTGGAATTAAAGTAAACACTTGGTATATATTACCAATATTATTTTTACTTATTATTGGTGGTACAATGACCAGGTTTCCTTTTATGTCTTTGGTCTTACTGTGCAGTTTGTAAAAAGAAAATTCAGAAAGTTGCAGTCTTAGATGAAAAACTGGTGAAAATCATACTTGCTACAGCTTTTCCCATTTTCAGAAGCCAATATATCTGTACTTCCACTTACTATGACGTTAAGTCTTCTCATATGTATTATTGGTGGTACTAACTGGAGGCAGAATCAGAAATTATGTCAAATAAAAGTAACATTTAAGAGATAAATTGTTCTGAATAGTGCATCTTTCATATTTTTCACGATATCTGACAGGTTTTTGTCCTTTTGGGTCTTTTTAAAAGTACATGCAGAAGTGAATATTTGATCTAGAGCTCTGAAACTTCCAATATCAGAACTTGGTAGCATTATGTCTTGGTATCTTATGTTTGGGGTCTAAAAAAGTCACAGATGTTGAGAAAAATATTCATTAAGCAGCAGTTTCAGTTCAAAGTTAGTTAAAACTGCACTCACGACAGCTTTCTCTATTTTTGCACGCCGATAGATCGGTAAGTATTAGTATTAGGACCTTGAAACTGCTCATATTATGTAGTCTTTGTGGTACTTTCTCATTGCAAAGGTAATTTGGAAACACTGTGACTTACATTTCATGCGTTAGTGAACACCGAAAATGAAACAGCCTATTAGATTTCATCATGATACATTGTACAAAATTGAAAACGTATATATAAAATATGTAGAGTCCTATATTTTAGTAATGAATGAATTACAATGTCAAGCAACAAGTGAAAATGTTAAAAATGCATTAATTTGCTTTCTATCAATACAAGTTTTTAATTGTATGCTGCAAATGATTACATTGACCACACCCACTTTCCAGGGGTAGGGTTCTATAAAGTCATATTAAAAATCATAAATAGTACATTATCATTATTATAATTGTATTACAATATCAAACAAAGCTTGAATTAGGTTTTAGAAAACAATTTTGAGCTATTTAAGCTGCCATCTTTTGCTGGAAGCTACAAATATAAGATACGTGAGACTTAAAAATGACTAAAATTGCATATTTTTTTCCTATTAATTGCAATATTTCTGAGACTAATATAGATATCGGCCTATAACTTTAGGATATTATTCATCTTTGGACTACTAATGTGTGCTGTAGAAAGCAGAACAATAGCAACTATATCCTGTATGTTATGAAATAATCTTATAGTACCCCCTGAAATCGCAGGAATTGAAGTCCAATTCGGCCGTGAAAATTGTTTTTACCACTTTAAAGGCCATCACCTTATATTTTCTTACACCTACTAGGTTACTCTAACATACTGCATTGCCAAAAGTTACTTCTTGCAAACTTCCGGCAAAACTGTGCCAGCATCTGATACAATAGCCATCATGAAAAAGTATAAGTTTCAGAGGAGAACTTGGAATTCAATAGAAGGGGTCCGAAACTTGAACTGAAAAATATATTTCAATGCATACAGGAAAAACAATTGGGCGCTTTTAAAATAAATGGTTCTGGAATTTGAAGTTGAGACCGACTTTTTGGAATTAGGCACACATTTAAAAAATAATGCCCATTCATATGTTCTTTGGGGAGTGTGCCCAAACATCTTTTGCTGGCATCTATTTTCTTAGGAGCCCATCTTCCCCCTCCCATGTCAGCCAGTGAGTTTAATCCATCTCAGGTATTGTAACTTCGTTATACTTACAAAATTAAGAGCATTCATGCTAGACTGTGTTTAATATCTTCCCATATCGACAGTAAGAATGTTCTATGACTTCTACTCTTATTACATACCTTTACTTTACCTCGTTGATTTGTAGTACTAATGAGTGTATACCTTTGTCTGAAGTCGTCATCTTCACCGCCCCATCCAAAATAAACGTTACTGAAACCATTTGAATTGTAAAATTGGTCACCGAGAACAGCCGATACGCCACCAAATATTTGTTCATAAGGTAATCTACAAAGACAAACTTTATTTTTTGTAGGTCGGTCAACTACCAATGACTTAAACCAACCCCTCCAAATATATAGCGCTGTAGTGGGATCCACTTGGGATAAATAAAAGAAAGAAATACACCAACCTGTATTTGAACTTATCTACGGCAACAGAAAAGTGAGTTGGATTTTGCGAGCACTCGTAGATCAAGCGATCATTCTCTAAGAGTAGGTCGACGTCATGAAGTATTAAACATAGAGAAGCTCCATTCCAATCTTTCAATGAAAGAGCTTCTTTGTATCCGATATTAAATAGCAACCCCCTATTAAATGTTTGACTATAATCCTGAAACAATGAACCCAAGTGGGTTGAAATTATCCAAATAAAATACAATAACAATTGATTCAGTGTCAGATGTACCACTCGGCATCATCTTTGACTCATTTAGATCAATAATTAAAGCTCTAGAAGGTACGATTTTTCAGAAATACTCAAACAAAATCATCTGTAACATTAACAGTATACAGTAACATTGATTTGATGCACTAGGTTTCCATTTTTAAATTGAATACAATTCTACCTATTTTTGAAATTGTATTGAGTTTGTTTGAATATTATTTATCGTTCACTAATTTCAAACAGATCAGTACATAATCTCGCACAGTATATATTTAAAACATATCACCAATAATTAAAAGTGAAACTTTGGATAGTAAAAACGTACCTGCTCTACAACTATGATAGTGTAATCCAGTAACTGTCTTTGAAAAATTGGAAAATAATGTTCGATGAAAAGTTTAAGATGATCGTCTCGATCCCTAAATGGAATAATTATGACAGTTCTTTGTCTTGGTTGACACGTGACTGGAAACCAGCGCCCTCTCCCGTCAGTTTTATATGTCGATTGCACTTCGATTGATGGATCCGAATGTAAGTTATTGTTAGGTGGATAGTGCCTTGGAACTCTAAGTGGACCAACTGAAAATAATCGTAAATCTGTTTAAAATTAAACATGCCCCTGACAAACATATCACTGACGTGTTGTCGAAGAAGATAAATAGCCTCTTTTCAAAGGTGAGTAATGTTTTGACTAAGGGTTGAGATGACTTGGGGTCGAGTTGACCAAGGGTCGAGATGACTTGGGGTCGGCTTGACTTGGGGTCGACTTGACTAAGGGTTGAGTTGACTTGGGGTTGAGTTGACCAGTTACCGGTTCGGATAGATGTTTCATTTCATTCCGATATGATACCAAGAACAAAAGAAATATCCGATGTGTTTTCTAAAACAATAGTGAGAAAAGTATGTTAATATATTTCAAATTATAATGACCATTAAATTGACGATGTGTAAAATTTTCAGAATGTTTTGATGACTGATTTAAGAGAAACGCGTGTTCAAAAAGTTCACCATATCGATACCACTCCTTTAATGTATTATATCGAAAAAGACGAACTGATGTCTAAAAAAGTCAAAGGAGTGGTATCGATATGGAGAACTGAATTCAACAATGTTTTTCTCTTAAAGAGATTGAGTCTCCTTAAAACACAATTAAAGTAACCCCCTGATTTTTTCATGTTATTTGATGTAAAACAAGTTTGTTTATCAACTTACCAATGCTGAGTCTTGAATTAATTCGTTAACAGTATCAATTTGATGATTGTTCCTAGCCATAAATTTCCACTTACATCAATAGAAATTAAAAATAAAATTTAAAAACCCCGCTCAAAGTTGTTCCAGTCTGATTGGCCCTTTTCTTCAGTTTGAACAGACTATTTTGGTTCAGAGGAGCCATAATTATTACTTTTTCTTTTATTGTTTTCAACTCATTGTTTTCAATTCTGACGGTTGATTGTTCTGTCGGTTGTCCTGTTGATTTTGTCAATATATTCGTGAAATTGTGCTTATGATTTGGTCTCAAGATATATCTAAGGCATATATGATGTTTTATGAGCAATTATATTGGGACATTACTGGTTGTCCAGAATAGAAATCTAGATCTCTTTAAACCAATCATTGAAAGACTCTGTAAATAAACACGATATTTTATGTAATGTTGACCAATTGACAACAATTTAATGCGAAAATTATTTAGAAATATTTTATATAACTGTTTTTGTTAACTTTTTGCAATTGTCTTTGCTCCTTTCTACCAATTCTTGAGAATGAAATGAAATGTCTTTCCGAACCTTGGTTGGAACAAAATAGCATATACAACATTTTATAGACCTCTCAATATTATAGTTATACAAAGGAATTTTTGGCTGATTTCAAAAAAGTATTCAAAAAATTAAAACAAAATCCTCCAAAAATAGATAAAAATCAAGATAACCTTTTATTTCATTAACAAGATACTTTTTTAAAACCAACCAATATTTCCATTGACGTGTCGCAAAAAGGTCACGCACGCATTGTTACACATTTTCGCTTTTTTAACACCACAAAATGTGACGTTTTTTGAGAAAAATGTACACATATGGAAATCCTTTCGTCCTCCACATTTGCCTCTATATCTCAAAATGTTGAAGTCGAATAACTCTGATATCGTACATGTAACAATGGGATAGGAGCATCATAAAACACGAATCAATTGATATTTTAGGTGAAATAAATATACGTGTTGCTGTGCTTGAAAATAGGCGAATGGCGTAAATTAGCCCTATTTTAATGAACTTTGAAAACCTTTCGTCCTCCACTTTTCCACATACAACAGAAAACAAAATCAACTATTTATTAATAAGATAAAGTTTAAGAGCAAAATAATCATGTATGATTTATTAAAAATTGATATCGTATTTTTTGTTTAATGTACACCTGAAAAGTTGAAGGTAACAAAAAATGAGCAAAAAAGGTCGCTGTCAACAGATTCTATTTTTCAAACTCTATGACGTCACAATATGGGACGCTTACTAAAATTCTTCCTTTGAAATAAAACGTCGATCTACCTTTATCAAGACGAAAAATAAGTATAATAGTCATATATTGTTTGATTCATAATTATGAGCGTTTAAAGACGAAAAATGGAGAGGTTAAGCTAACGATGTTTTTCACAACGTAACCGTGAACACAAAGTACAAAAATTAACAAAGGAATATATCGAGCGCTCATAGTTTTATGCGCGCTTAGTCTACTTCAGATACTCTTTCAGCTTCAGAGTTTCGGGTTTAGAACGGGAGATTTCGAAATTTGACGTTGGGTCAACGGGAACCATTTTACTCGTGTCTATTGAACACTATGCTGTCAATTTTGATTTCGATGCACAGTTGAATTCTTGCTGAACACGATGATGTATGTCATGCATGATTTAGCGCCAAAAATCTTACGAAACGAGCTCGTTTAAAATATGTATTAGAAAACCAGCTATAAAACCGCATCAATGACATACTATAGAATCATTACACGCTATGGTGTAGTCTAAACAAACACTGGATTTGAACGGCTATTTATATGAGAAGGCTACATGAATTTGTATATGGTCGAGTGATACGTACAGGTTCAGTTTCGATTATATATGCAAAGCTTAACCTCTCAAGTAATTCAAATGTAACGTGTCAACAGGGGATATTTGCCAGATGTTTTGGTAAAAAACTCTTTTAAGAAAGAACGCACAAGAACCGTGAACGGAGTGTAGTTGATCTAAAAGCTTCATCGAAACAGCTTTAAAATGATATATAACTTTAATTGGAATATTATCTTATAATCCGGGGAATCAAAGTTACATTCACGCGATACCCTTAAAAAACAAATGCGCCACCTTTTAGCGACACGTCATTGTACAATTACAATATTGAGAGACCTAAACATGTCTATGTCGTTTTGTTCCAATAAGGTTTGGAAAGATGTTACATTTCACTCTGGAAACATGATACCAAGAAAAAAACAACTGTTTCATGTGTTTTCAAGAACAATATTGATGGAAGTGTATATATATATATTTTAAATCAAATTGTTTCAATTAAAAAAATGACCATTAAATTGACGATGTGTTAAATTTTTAGATTTTTTCATGACTGGTTTAAGAGAAACGTCTGTTCAAAAAGTTCTCCATATCGATACCACTCCTTTGCAAGGTCAAAGGTCAATGTTATCAAACGAAATCACAAACTGTGTTTTATAAGTTTTTAAAAATTGGTGACTACAAATTTGGATGAAAGTCAGAATATATATTCCTATGAAAGTTCTACACATATTAGCAATCGACTATCTATTAAAATTGTGCACTAGTTTTGAGATACTTGAACTCTGAAAAAAGGTCAAATTTCGAAACTTTTCAAGAGTAAATTTCAACTTGCTTCAAATTGACCGAACATTTTTTAAAAATCATCTTCAAGTACTCAGGACCTCAAATCTTACCTAACCTTTGACCTTTGTCTGACCTTAAAAGACCTTCAGAAGGTTGAGAAAGTTGATTTTTCAAGTTGATTTTTTATTCAAATTTAGGTATAGTTAATCAAATAAGACCTACTGAGGTCTAAAAAGTAAAATTTGCAAGGTCAAAGGTCAAGGTCATCAAACTAAATTAAAAAATGTATTTTCTAAGTTTCTAAAAATTGATGACTACAAATCTATATTTTTTGATGAAAATTAGGATATATATTCCTCTAAAGGTACTACACACATTAGCAATTGACTGTTTATTAAAGTTTTGCACCAGTTTTGAGATATTAGAGCTCAAAAACTGAAAAAATCAAAGGACCATATACACTCTCCATTGGGATCTCTCCATGAGAAAAAAATAATTCATCTGATTTTTCAAAATGAGTATTCTGCCTTAAATGAAACATTTATATGCACACTAGTATCTTGTTGACCTATATTCAGCACTGTATAGGCCACTTATTAGGGTCCTAATTCAATCATGAAGTGAAGAGGCATAGATTCCAAACCAGGAAGTATTTCTGTGTCTGTTAAAATCCATATTTTGCATCCTACGCATCCCTACATCTTATCCAAATATGTTACTACATAATGAAATATAATAGTATATTCTTTGGTTTTACAAAGTTGTATGCTTTTTGATAAGTTTAAAAGTTGTTTTTGGAGCATTTTTCTAAAGCCATTTTGTAGGAAAAAAATGATGAAAAAATGTACAATCTTTTAATTTTAAGTATGACCTGAATCGATTGCAAACTGCATATTTGCACATTTGATGAGATAAACCATTTGTGTCATATTGTGAAATTATAAAGTTTGCAATCGATTCAAGTCGTAGTGTATTTTTGGTATTTTTGTGATAATCAATGGAAACCAATGGCCTCTATTGGGATCTGCTGATATCCTCATGTTAAGTCAATGATGCACAGCCCCATGTTAGTCAATACAACCTTACTGAATTAAATGGCCCCTATCTCAGCCTATGTGTGCCCGAGCACTTTAATATTTTCCAAAGATTTATATGACATTCTTCTTCTTCATGTTACACCTAAGAATTATTCATTTTGACCATAGAGGTATTTGCCAAGAACTGCACCTCTTCCTTTCGAAATTTTTCAAGACCAAATTTCAACTTGGTTTAATTTTAACAAATCTTTCTTAAACATCATTTACAACTTTCATTGAGTTTTAACATAACCTAAGGCTTGAGATTTGACCTTTTGCTGACCTTCAAATTGTCAAAAATGCCGAGAATTCTAGTTTTTATTATAATCGTTTAATATATTCCCGGCGTTTTGTCTGGATTATGCCTGTCATTAGCAGAGGTTAGAAAATTACCAAAAACTAAAATCCCTTTTCACAATTTTCAGTACACAATGCGACAGAAAATAAAACTAAATTATTTTGAATTCATGATTTAGGTCAGTTCTACCAAAACTGGCCTGGCAGAAAATATATGTCTGATTGGAGACAAATACACATGTTGTCGAACATTCACATGAAGTTCCATTGCACATCATTCTCAATTCATGAATATTTTCATCTTGAATTATAGAATTCCCTAAGTTCTCCAAAATAACGAAGCCTTGTGGAAAAGCATTTATGTGCAAAATAGCTCCACCGGGGCTCGATCCCGGGACCTTTCGCGTGTTAAGCGAACGTGATAACCACTACACTATGGAGCGATGTCTGAAATGCAAAGCAAAATAATAAAAAATGAAGAAGTAATTTAAAAATAAATGTTTTTTCTAACGATTGAGTGAAGAGGACAGGTTTGAAAATATTTTAGACGTTTTTTATTTTAATATCTAGTAATAGTAGGTTTGAAACTGAGGAAACTGAGGTAGCATTTGTTTGTCAATGGCTTTTTTTAGCTGGGCTATAATTGGTTCTGGTTTCAAGCCAATATGTTTTTGATCATGACCTTTATATCATTATACGGACCGATACAGTTCACTAAATGTGACATATTTAATATTCATCTTAACCTTCGTATTAAAGTTGGACTCAAGTCAACACCATGTCTATGGATAACAACAGCATAACTTATACCGGTACATGGAGAGCCAAGTTTGAGAAATGACAACATTAAAGTATTAGAGACTTCAAAAGGCGTTCTTGGACAATGATGGTATGGCTTCAGGAATCTAGACCGAGGCCCTGGGACAAAGGAAAATTTCCAATCACTAAACAAATAGTCACAAAATATACCAAAACAAGTATTACAAAGATCAGATATGTGAGTACTGACAAATTCAAAAGTGCATGTTAAATAATCCATTTTATCATTTTCTCTGTATCCAAAATCCGTTCTGTCCAAGTTACATACATACATACATCATAAATGGTGTAAAATTAACTTTTTTATTTGATTTTATTTTTCCCAGGAACAGGGGACAAATGTTTTATTTGTAGTAATGACCTTATCAGGCGCTATTTAGTGATTTTAGACGATCATATCTTTCACCATGGGTACATTCTGGCCATCAATACAATGGTTTTTATTTTAAAAAAATATGTTTTCTTTCAAGTGAAGTCCCCATGGATCGATTGTTTATGACTTTTATAGTTTATTAGACATGCCCTTTGAATACGAACATTCCAATGTCTCTATAACATTTAATTCGACGCACAAAGAAATAACAGATATTTTCATAATAATAAAACGATCTTTTGGAGCATACGTTGTCACGCGGTACTAACTTCGACCATTAATCTGAATTTTTGACCTACCGAATGTTTGAAAATCAAGGATTACGAGTCTCGTACTGCACCGTTTTTCATCAAACTTGTTCCATTCAAAGCATAACAATTAAAAATCCCTTGCTCTTAAACAGAGTCGAAAGATTACCCTTTAATTCATTTTAAAGACATAAAATAAATAAATCTAAAGGAAAACAATTAAAAATCCCTTGCTGTTGGTACATTATTCTCTTAAACAGAGTCCAAAGATTACCCTTTACTTCATTTTAAAGACATGAATCAAATCTGTGAAATAAAATTTGCCTATGTAAAAATTTGGCTATTAATGTCTAAATGGACACATCCAAGGAAAAATTGCTTAAATGAAAACAAAAAAAACAGAGTCCCTACTTTTGTTTTGCTTTTAATGGTATAAGTTTGAAGAAAAATGGTGCAGTATGAGACTCGCAATCCTTGATTTTCGAGCATCTGGTAGAATGATTGATTTAGCCATTGAATGGGGTTATTTATTTTGTCCGAGATGAAATAGATTTTAAGTTAAATTGTGCGAAATAATTGACATTTCTTATTAAAATTCAATATGGAGAATCTTGACTTTATTCCCTGCACCTCATAATTTTCCTCGATTACAGTAGGTCGAAAAATGAAAATATTTGAAAGAAAATCGTCTTTCTCATGTGAATCATTGCGAAATGAAAAGTTCGGGGCAAATCAGATTTCAGGATATCTATTCAGAAAAAGGATTCACCCAAAAATAGTTTTATATAGAAAATCCAATTGTTTATAACGTTTTTAGCATACTTTGAGTGTATAGTTTACTTTGTGAAAATTAAAGTTACAGAGCTTCAAAGTCATTTTTGAAAATTATTTTCGCCTCCTGTGTTATTTCAACGGGAGAGGTTTCATGAAAAATTATCACTTTTTGGATGTAAAGAGAGAGAGAGATTAATTTTTAATAGTTTTTTTCTTTACATATTATGCAAATACGAATTCAAACATAAATAGGCCTTTTAACATGTAATCCAATGGGGAGTTAGGGCTGCCAAACCTTTGGAGGGAGTGTAATTGTATGTATTAATACAAAAAAGCAATTATGTGAAGAAGCCTGATTCATAATGAAGGGGGGGGGGATTTTTGAATAACATAAAAATAGAACCCCTTGTCCTGGCTACGTCATTGTGACACCAAAACTAACGATTTCTGTCTTATCTAATATATTGATGGTTCGATTGCAGATACTTGAAATAGCCATTGTCAAATACGTTTTTCATAACATCTACTTTATTTTAAAGTTTTTAACATTTTGATACTTGAATAAATAGTAGGCTACGTAAACATATACATATATGTATGTATGCACTATTCCCGAATCAAATTGGTACGATTCATTGATTACATTTTCGCCTTATAAGTATTAAATAAATAAGGTAATTCTCAAATTATAGACTTCGAAAATATGGACGAAACCTTGAGGTACTCGAAAGAGATACATAATGGAATAACTGTAGTCGCTTTTCTCTGTGAACTGGTATGATAATGGAAGGGTAGCATATTTTTGAAAACTGGTACAAATCTTGATTTTAGTTTTGATTGAGTTTCATAAAGAATTTGGTTTACAATAATATCATGTTGTATAATATACAGTCATGCAGCATATTTTAATTAGCATTTAACAGGTTGCAACTTTACATACATGTATCTTTTTCCGAAATAATAGCTAATTTGGATAATGTTGGTATATCAGAAGCGACGGCAGGTGATTTGATATCTTCTAAACGCTTATTAAATACTTCTAGCACTTCGAGATGTAAATTATTAAATCATATCAACTTTAAATGACCTTGCAAGACTGAAGACTAGTACCTGTAGGTCGGTATTTATTAATGGAGAGATGCACGAACCACGTAGCAAAACTATAAGTGTATTTCAATGGAAAACTGTGCTTTTCGCAATGTTATTTTTGAATGTTTTATTCGTTTATCATTTTGTTGGACGTCTCAAAATAAATATTTTACCGGATCGTAAAGACACTGGATCATTGTATTATACTATTAAGAATGTCGATCCAGGGAATCGAGTTAAAGCCCACAACCCAGCACTTAATTCACACTTAGCACCGAAAAAGAATTCAAAATATTATAATATGGGAATCCATGGACACAACTGCACAAAAATCCGGCAACATTTTGGTAAGTACACAATTATCAATTTGCCAATTTTTGGGGAATGCACTGGATTATTTCTCAAATTGAAGCCGTGTCTATATAGATTATTGATGTATTGCAAATCTGTGTTCTCGTTTCAGTCGTTGGGCAAACAGTTCCTAAGGAAGCGAAAAACAGCAGTTCGAAGACTCTGCTCAAAACTGGGTCACAACCGGAAGTGCTTCCAACGTATAGTACTGATGGTAGAGGGCGTTGGTTTCCAACTTCCTGTAAAACTAAGCAAAGAACCGTCATTGTGATTCCGTATAGGGACAGAGCTGATCATCTTAAAATATTCATCGAACATCATGTTCCAATTTTTCGAAGACAGTTGTTGGATTACACTATTATTGTCGTAGAGCAGGTACGTCAAAACAAAAATCTCCGATTTTACGCAGATACGTAGGAACAAAATCATTACATTTGTGCCAATGTTAATATTAACATGTTCTAACAAGTTAATGTATTACTAGTATCATACGCATTCAGCAAGTAATTATCATCCAATAAAGTCATATAAATTTCGCATGAATTTTTATTTTATCAAATTATTCTCTATGCCAAAATGTAACTTATTCAATAAATCATCTTTTTCAACATTGGTTAAATTCCAGTATTCTGATTGGTCATTATTGCACAATAACACAGAAACAAATACCATATAATTATATTATTTTCAGGATAACAGCAAAAGATTTAACAGGGGGATGTTATTCAATATTGGATACAAAGAAGCTCTTTCATTGAGAGATGGGAATCAAGCTCCTCTATGTTTAATACTACATGACGTCGACCTACTTTTAGAGAATGATCGCTTGATCTACGATTGCTCGCAATATCCAACTCACTTTTCTTTGGCTATAGATAAGTTTCAGTATAGGTAAGATGAAACCTTTTCTCCAAAATGACAACTATATAGTGTGGATCTAATTGATTGTGCTTCTTTTAGACCTGCCTCCAAAAGTTTCGCAACTGAAAGTCCCATCTGTATTACGAATTTTTATTAAAGCCTGTTCATGCGTATTTTTTAAATTTCGATTAAAGCATATTTTAACAGTCTTGCTTATTAACTTGCAGAAGGGGGTATGGGTTACCTTGTAGCTATTCGTGATAGTCCAACGTAATTTCCTAGGGATGGTTAAGTTTACATTGTATATTCTATCAGTTGATTCTATTCATAGACAAACATTTATTGTTTTAAACAGTAATTTTACGAGAGCTATGCTTATACGTATTTTATGTTTATCAGTTTACCATATGATTGGCTATTTGGTGGTGTAGTAGCGTTGCTAGGAGACCAGTTCGAGGAAACAAACGGCTTTGGTAACCTCTTCTTTGGATGGGGTGGTGAAGATGACGATTTCAGAGAAAGGTATGCGAGTTCAGCACTTTTATTTAAGATGTATTAAGCAATTCAGGCAAAAATATTTTAATTTCAATGCATTTTAAAAATTATATTACTTCAAACGACTGGCTATTTCCCGAATGGTTATTTACATGAATCTAGTTATATATTCTACCTGAAAAGGTGACTACCAATAGACTGTTTCCCGTGCAAAACGTACGATAATGTTTTTATTTCTGTTATCCTGTTATTTTGACAGGTTACTGTTTGCTTCACTGTTCCCTGTACAATACGATAATGTTATATATCTGGAATGCTATTACTTTGACAATTAACACTACTGTTTGCTTGGCTGTTCCTTGTACAATTTGTTCGTTGTATATCTGTTATTCTTTTACAGGTTATTATATGCTGGATTGTTCCCCGTACAACACGATAATGCATCTATATCTCGATATTCTATGATAACGCATGGTGAAAGTAAAAGCAAGAATGAAGACAGGTCTGTGTTTTGTATATAATATATAGAGATTATTTAGGGGGAAGTTTTTGATAGAGGGTATATCTGAGGGAAATACACTCATAATCAATCAAGTATGGAATAAATCAGTTTGAAAATGCTCGAGTTTTGATACTGGGTATATCCCTCGGAAAATACAATACTGTAAAACGGGTAATTTTGACACCGGGAAATTTTAGCGATTTTTCAATTTTAAAACATATATCAACCCGAGGGACGATTGATATATTGTATTTACTGAGGGATAAACCCAGTATCAAAAATCGATCATTTAATAACTGATTTATTCCATACTTGGTTGATTATGAGTCAAGTCCCCTTGCTCAGTATCTACTCTCTGTATTTGTGACGTCGACGATCTGATAAGCGGGTGATATCACCTGATCACCCGCACACTTCAGATATCAATTATATTCCTGCATGTTATTTACCTGTAATACTACTAAGTGTGGAATGATAAATGATACTTAGAGGTTATCTTATAAAGCTTGCGCCAGTATACACCAGTACAGTATATATGTTTTTTATTTCAAACATCGACCTTTTGTTTATTATGTGTTTTCCTCAAACATTTTGAAGATGTAGTTGTTTTTACACACTGAAACGTAGTCTTATACACCCCCTTTTACCCCCTTTTCGAAATTGCTTCGTATCTATTTATTCAAATTACATTTCAAAATAATCTCATATAAAACATATATTAGATACGGAGACTTTTATCTACATATGTTATTACCTGATATGCAAGCGCGTAGCTACGTTGAGGCAAATGAGGCAGCTGCCTCGTCGCTTTTTTCAGCCTTTGAAAAATAATGTTCGGATATAAAACCATTAAAATGAGCATCTTTTTCTTGAAAACATACCGTATTCATGATATTAAAAAGCATAATTGGTATTTACTTGAAACATATCTGGACTTAAACAAGGTTTCAATTTTTACATGTAATATAATATGTATAGTACGAGGAGTGTATAAACATTAGAGATAATTTACCTCGCTTTCATTTTAGGCAAAACATGGTAGCAACTGGATACGAAAGATACCATTGTGATGGACTTAATTCAATGGAATATGCAGTGAACAATACACAATATAAAGAACACTTTATTATCATCAGTATTACTTTACCTTTAAATCTAAAAAGGTCAAGTGTTTGTCAAAGCTGCTTTTCAGAAAATAAGGACTTGAAAATCGATTCAGAAATCAGCGATAATGGCACTATGAATGAACCCCCTGATATATGCTTGTAAAATAATGAATACTTGAATATTATCTTCAATATATCAACCCGAGGGACGATTGATATATTGTATTTACTGAGGGATATACCCAGTATCAAAAATCGAGCATTTAATAACTTATTTATTCCATACTTGGTTGATTATGAGTCAAGTCTCCTTGCTCAGTATCTACAGTATACACCAGTACAGTATGTATGGTTTTTATTTCAAACATCGACCTCTAGTTTGTTATGTGTTTTCCTCAAACATTTTGTAGATGCAGTTGTTTTTTTTACACACTGAAACGTAGTCTAATACACCCCCTTTTACAAGTTTCGAAATTGCTTCGTATCTATTTATTCAAATTATATTTTAAAATAATCTCATATAAAACATTTATTAAATACGGAGACTTGTATCTACTTACGTTATTACCTGATATGTATTCATGATATGAAAAAGCATAATTGGTATTTACTTGAAACATATCTGGACTTAGACAAGGTTTCGATTTTTACATGTAATATAATATGTATAGTACGAGGAGTGTATAAACATAAGAGATAATTTACCTCGCTTTTATTTTAGGCAAAACATGGTAGCAACTGGATACGAAAGATACCATTGTGATGGACTTAATTCAATGGAATATGCAGTGAACAATACACAATATAAAGAATACTTTATTATCATCAAGGTTACTTTACCTTTAAATCTAAAAATAGTCTAGAAGAAAGCCAGAAGGGGGGTTGTTTTGGAGTATATACAATGTTTTATTGCAAAATATGTTGGTGTGATGTGTTGTGATGAAGATTAGACAAATATGCAGTAATGTTACATTGAGCATTTTTTCTGCAAGGTCAGCAGAATTTGCAATATTCCATAAGTAGGGATTTTAAGAATCTAGTTTTAAGAACTTATATACTTGCTTTTACATGGTTCTAGTAATTTCATGTCATATTTACCTGATTAGCTTTGAATTGAACCGTGAAACTGATAAAAATTAATGCCGTGATTAAGTGCTGAGTCAGCGGTAATAGTTATTTTTCTCATTTCAATTGATTTTACATATCTAATCAATTTACAACCACATATTTGGACTTGGATGGTCAAAACTTAATGTTTCAAAGAACGGGTTACTCTTTTAACTAAGACGTCAACTTTATTCGAAATACAATATGCTGATGTCAGCAAACTACTTCATCAAATTAGTAAAGCAGTCTTAAGCTTTAAATATTGCTAATTGTAGCAATACCAGGGAGCGTAATATAAACAATTGAAATCTTATATGCAAAATATGGATTTATTAGCTAATTATCATTAGCAATTACTCAAATGCGAGTAGGTAGTTACCAGTTTCGCCACCAGGTGGCTGATTTGGGGGAAATAACATGGCAGGGTATTACAAAATTCCTTTAAACTTGAATATTCATCAGTTTTAGTGGTTCACTTTTCACATTACCCTTATGTATGTGATAGTTATACAAATTAAAATATGTCCAGTAAGAGAAAATATTATCTGCCCAACACAAGAAAAGATATTTCACTTTTTGTGGTTTTACAATATGAGGTCTATTGGGAATCTCCCCGACCTAGAAGTCACATTTTCTCAGAAAAATAAATTTTCATAATCGATAAACTCTTTGCAAAACCACATTTCTAGATGTAATTTTACATGTAGATTCCAAATATGCATCAGTTTGACTGAATTGTGAATTTTTAATGACTTAAATCAAGATTATTTCTACTCGCATCTAGGATATTGGCCCTAGAAGCTCTAAGGGGGGGGTGTACAAAAGGCCCTCACAGTTAAGGTTTTCTCTAAAACTTTCTAAAGGCATCAGGTAGAATCTTCAATTCCTGAGTAGCTTGAGCTAGAGATACAACAAATGTATTACGAAAAAATCAGCAGAATTGTATGAAGGGTAATTCATTTATTATGATGAAATCATCAGCTCCAAGAGACAAAACCTTATTATATAAATTGAGAATCACTAATTCACGTTCAAACCAGACAAATATACAATCTTAGATCTAGTACGTTCAGAACAAACATGGGAAAATACCCTATAAAGAAGACAGGGTCAGACCTGTGGAACACTTTACCTCATAAAATTACTCATTCTAATACTCTTTCCACCTTCAAAAAATTAAGATTACACTTGCTCAACAATTAACATCATTACTTTAAGAAAGAATCAGATGAAGCGAGCAGCCTAACAAAAATTGTTTCAATTTTCGAATATTTCTGGCTTATGTCATTCCTTTTCATGTCTACGAGGGTTGTCCCAGAAGGATTGCACTATATGCTCTAACTTTCTTTAATATTCTTCAATTCAGCTGAGATTTTTTGTATATTACAATTGAAGTTTTATCTATTATATCCTGAATTTTCAGCATAATTTTTAATATGGTTGCTATAGCAACATGTGGGTAGGGGTGGGTTGGGCAGGTACCAATTTCTCTTATGAAAATATCCAAAGTGTTATTTTATAAATATTTCTTTCTTTTAAATGATCAAAATGTTTTGAAAATTGTTAAATTATGACATCCAGCACTCTGATGTCATAATATTACAGTTCAATAAACACAAATTAAAATACAGTCACAGTCAAGAAATTGCAAAAATGGCAGCAATTCTCACCTGATAACAGAAGGCCTTGCGTTTGGTGGCCTAATTTCATACTTCACTTGGACTCACAGCCACACAAAACTTATGCTACCATGAAGAAAGCATGCAAAAATTCTCAAAAGTTCATGAATTAAATTAGGTAAGATTTAGCCCATCATGAGAAATCATGGCCTTCCTATTTCTCGCTGAAGGCAGAAATATGTGATGAGTATCAGAATGGATTTAACCATTTAGTGTGTCAATGTAGACCTATGTAGTGTAGTAGTCCCATTCAAATCTAAAACAAGGGCGGGATGTCAAGGAGCAAAATCCTTTCATCAGAATATTAAAACATAGTATTTGCCCATTTAATTCGATTCATGATAATAGTTTTTTTTCTGAAAAGTTACTAATTCACAATGAAGCAACGATGTATCTTTTGAATCAATATTTTTTTAACGAAGTGTATTTTTAGAATTTAAATCTTAAATAAAATAGGATTAGTATCAGAATGAAACAGATTACATTACAATTTAATAAATGAGAAAGGTAGAAACGGTATACTCTTTTATGATCAATTAGTTTTGGCTCATATGGACAAACTAGTGACAAAAATTAATGCCAACTTTACATTAAAAGATAATCTTGCAACATTAACAAGATAAAATGCCACACAGGTTATCGCAAATGAATGAATAGATAGAATTCAACCATTTACGGTGTACATATGTAGCGTATGTATTAGTCCTGTTCATATCTGTAACAAGAGCAGGGTGTCTAGAACATGTTTAGAACATTACTACAGTAATACCAATTGGCCATTTAATTCAAGTCTGAATGATAGTTTTTTTTCTGAAAAGATACGAATTCACAATGACGAAACGGGTATCTTTTGGAATCAATATTCTATAATGAAGTGTATTTTTAAAATTTAAATCTTAAATAAAATAAGATTAGTGTCAGAATGAACTGGATTACATATTACAATTTTAAAAAAAGAAATGAAATATGGATTTTGTGAAAGACTGTTGGATGTTCAATGGGAAAATCTTCTGTTCGTTTGAAGGGTTTGATAGTCGTTGTCATCGTACAGAATTGGACATAAATTCAAATCCTCACGCACTATATCAACAACTTGTGAATAACAGATCTATGTAAATATGACTCTACAATTGAATTGTTACTATCCATGATGAAAATGTAACCTAAACAAACTAAGGCAATGAAATAGCCTAGTAACGTTTCTGAAATATTACCGCTTTTATAACCACTCTTGGATATTATACACATGTATCCTAATACATTACTTGATTTCAGTTGGGTTCATTCATTCTTATATTTTATATTCTGTTTATATTTACTGACCTTGCTTTTTTCGATTGATTAGTTCTTTAACATTGAGTATCAGACTTAGAATATGACTGTTTGTCTTATAATTAACATGATCGATTCCCATTTGAGATATCAGTTGATTCTTCCATTCACCTTTAAAAATTAAAGTAGTGTCATTTGATACGAACATTTTTATCACTGTTCGACTTAATTCTTAGATTAGATTTTTGTACCACTTATTTTGTTCTCGTATGTGTGGGTATAAACGTCTGAAAATGACGTCACCTACTATGTTTTATTATGTAAATCATATTTGTTATTACCAATAAATTGAATTGAATTGGATTTTTTCAGAGAGAGAATGTTCACAGGTAGATATGTATATTGCAAGTCATGAATTAAACAAAAATAACTGATAAGGGATATTTCACTCCATTTAAATACATGAATACTACCAAATGTGCCACGCCCCCTTTCAGAAATATTACATAATTTTAAAAAGACAATAGAAAAAAACGCTCAACCTACCACAACTGCATATTTGTGGCTTTTTGACCAGGACATGTCTAACTATCAAAAATGCAATAAAACATCGTATTACATACCCAGCGAAGCATTTGTATTGAAGTCAATGGAGCTGAATGAAGGTCGGCTATATATTCCTGTATAGCCGCCAAACCTTTTACCATGACAATCTTATGACGTCATCGGGACGTCATGTTTCATTTCTTCCTAATTTCACTCGCACACAGACACGTGGTGTCATTGGTATAACGTAGCCATGATATAAAAGTATGTACTACAACAGTTATGTCCGTATCATTGAATATATGCCTTCGGTCTGTCGTAATATTACCCTCGCAAGCTCGGGCTATATTGGTGACAGACCTCAGGTATATATTCAATGATAGGGACATAACTGCTAAGTATATACTCCAAAACAAGGTTCAGTAATAAAACCTTTGTTTTCATCTAGACTAAAAGGTCAAGTGTTTGTCAAAGATGCTTTTCAGAAAATAAGGACTTGAAAATCGATTCAGAAATCAGCGATAATGGCACTATGAATGAGTCCCCTGATATATGCTTGTAAAATAATGAATACTTGAATATTATCTTCAAAAAGATTATTTGAAAAATCGTTGAATTGCTTATCTATGTT